ACAGCAAAATTATTCAAATCATGTAACAGTATAATTGTCCATCCCATAAAATGTTTAATATCTAAAATAAAGCCACTAAACTAATTCTTTTCTCCAGGTTTTCAGATAAGACGTTTAGCCATCTTGACACCCTTTGTCGTAAGAATCACTGAAAAATCCTTTGAGTTATTCAGCTAGAAAGACAACAGGTTAAAATCATTTTGTGTCATCCCCACTGTCTTCCCCAATGTACAATGGTGAGAGGAAAATGATCATTCAGGCTTTCAGTAATGGTACCAACACATACTCTAGCTTCCATCTTCAAAGTCCATACAAGAACCACCAAGAGAATGGTGAATAAGTTTTAAAAAGAGGGAACAGTAGAGAGGGATCATCATTTCAACTTAGAGCTAAAGAGATCAATTAGAAAAGATCCAACTCAATCCATAAGACATTTCACGCATGAGAGAGGAGCTTCAGCTATGACAGTTCAAAGAGCAGTGAAAAAAGTAAAACATGAGGTACCTTGTTACTCCAGGCTAGAAAGAAGGTTAGAGAGGGCAAAGATCATCTTGCATAAGTTGAAAAATGATCCTGGAATAATATATATATATATATATATAAAACCTTTATTTTAATCCTTCATGAACTTCCGATCCTTAGCTATGATTAATTAAATTAATTAATGATGAACATGTAATTTTTGCTGATGATCAATGTCATCATGATTCTTCTGTTAAACTTGGAGAGTAATTATACATTCTAATTGCTCAAAATAGAGTCTAATAATGTTATAAAAAACTTGGAAAATTCTAGTAAGATATTTTTAATCATTTCTAAGATACAACAGTAAAAGCTTAATCTAACAGACAATTTTGCTTTTACGCTATTTGGACAATTTTGTTGTTACACCCGGTATATCATGAGATTTTTGCCAAAATCTAAAGGGTCTGTAATGCTGTCAGTCCTAACCTGGCATTTTAAATTCAGTCACTCTCCCAACACCATGATGTCACTTCTTTCAGACATTTTATATAAATATTTTCAAATGAGCTCTCTTTGTTGGAACACCAGGTTTAAATGAGCTCTCTTTGTTGGAACACCAGGTTTAAATGAGCTCTCTTTGTTTGGAACACCAGGTTTAAATGAGCTCTTTGTTTGGAACACCAGGTTTTAAATGAGCTCTCTTTGTTGGAACACCAGGTTTAAATGAGCTCTCTTTGTTGGAACACCAGGTTTAAATGAGCTCTCTTTGTTGGAACACCAGGTTTAAATGAGCTCTCTTTGTTGGAACACCAGGTTTAAATGAGCTCTCTTTGTTGGAACACCAGGTTTAAATGAGCTCTCTTTGTTGGAAACAACTTTGTTGGAACACCAATGAATCTAAGTGATTCTAGACTGGCAAATAGGTCGCATCATTTTACGGTTGAATGAGCTAGATGCAACCCTAAGTTCTGGTCTAATAGTTTCCTTTCTCGCACTTCTTGCCTGTGGAACTCTCTTTAGGTTTCTTGATTCCTACGCTCTTCAAAAATTTTAATGCGACATCATTCAGCATCTTCTATCTTCCTAAAACCTATTCTTTTATTGTCCTTTCTCTTTACTAACATCTTTTCATTTTCTTCTTACATATGATATCCTTTTTCATTGTTGCTGCTGTTGAAAGTCCTCAAGTGATTTGGTTTTTGGCAACTGGTACATTTTGAGATTCTGTAGTGTCTGTTAGAACTAACAAAAACTGTAGTATTCACGATAAATGAGAGTGTTTTGCTTGACTAATTTGTTTTCATGCTTCATTACACCTTTTTAGGAGTTAATTAATCCTAAAATATATTTTAGATTATAAAAATAATTCCTTTTTTGTTTTCTTTGAGCAAATATTTCATTACTAATTCTTTTAAAAATAACATTGATTTTTCCAAATAAAAATCCTACTATTTAACCCATAGCTCGATGGAGGATATGTATTTGTAAAGTTTTAAATATAACCCCTCATCTAGTATGCAGATAACCAAGTTAGAGTATTAGTCTGAACCTGAGAAGGGGTGGAACAAGACCTGCCATACCAACATCCAGACTCACACCAATGTGGAACAAAAGATATGCCTAGATAGTAACCCACAACCTCACCTTAACTTAAAAGTAGTAATCTTTTAGAGTACACCTCACGTATTGTAAGTACAATGTTTATAAACATGTTTTATTATTGTTTTGCATTGTTACAGTTAATAAAAATGGTAAACATATATTGGCACCAATCTTTTCATTTCCCTTAGTACTTCGTATTTATATGTTTGGGAGCACCTTGAGGTAGGGGACCATTATAAAATAACTGACCCAAAATATTCATACCTTTCCTAAGAGTATTTGCACATAGGTGTATGAACCTGACTGGAATTCAAACTCAGCTGAGTTCTCATTCCAAGCCACTATATATTAATCTGCCTGCATATCCTAAATGAGAGAGAGTCTTTCCCAGTTCATATGGAATATAGTGCCACAGTTGCATCACACTAATATTGCTACTATTGTTTTCATGACACATAGCCTGTCATTCTCCAACACTGGTTGTCAACCAAGACTAAAGTACCCACGGTGCTCTACTATTTAACCCATAGCTTGTTTTCTTTTAATTTTTCTCTAGCTTTTTTCACTTTCCACTTTCCCATCCTCTTTTTGCGACCTCCTCTTCTCACAGTTTTTCCTAATTCCTTCCTATTTCATATTACATATGGTCCTTAATCAGAAAACATGATTCCATCCCAGGGATCAGTCAAATACTACACTGATCTTAGATCAAAAAGCACCATGATTATACATATAAATGAGTAGAACACTAGTATAAATCAGAGTACTGTAAACTACAACCAAGGTCTCATCATTTTATAGTCAAATTAGCTAGATGTAACCGTAAGTTCTATGCTAAGAGTTTCTTCTCTCAAAATTGCCGCTTGTGGATCTCTCTTCTGGCTTTTTGCTTTCCAGTCAACTTTGATCTTCAAAAATTTAAATGCAGTATCAATCTCGGTCTTCTTAATTTCTGTTCTGCTATTGTTCTCCTTAATAATGTTTTTCTTTTTCTTATATTCTTTTACACTCAGTAAATACTTGTGTCTTAGTGGCTTTATTGCCTTGCTTGGAGTGAAATGTTTAAAAAAAAACAAAGTTCAGCTAAATGTTAAATTTTAACATCTGACAATATGGAAAATGATATTATTTTTAAATAATAATTTTTTATATTATTTTTTCTTTGATATTATTATATAGGAAATAAAATATTTGTTTTGTTTATGTATCAAATATGTTTAATTATAAACACCGATAACTGTTATATACATTTAAAATCAGTTTTGATGACAGGAAGTACAAATTTTAAAAAACAGTTTGACTTATTTTATGCTTTATAACCATTTTCTCACATCAATGGTTAAAATGCGAGTGTGTCATGGTGAAAACCATCCTTCATTGAGCCTTGTAAACTGGTGCTACCAAATCAAAAACAAAGAACTGTATCAGATAGCAGAAACCACTTCACTTTATGACTTTCAATAGCACTTTAGATAGCACATGTAACGCAAAGAGAAAATAATGGGTTAATCAAGATGTTAGTATTCCACACTATTTCAAATAAAAGGTTAGGAAGGAAACTCTCATTAATACTGGAAAGAGCAATAACAGCTACTGGACTTGAGATAACTATTTTCCTGAAAAATTGTTTTTAAGAGAAAGATTTTATAAATTTCAACCACAAACAGTACTGGCTGCTTGGTCAATGAATGCTGAATGTTTCCTTATAAGGAAACAGTTGATATTACTATTACTATGAGTTATCTAGTAGAAAGGACACTTATACAGAGAATCAGAAAGAACCACTTGAAATTTCTAGGGTACATAATGAGGAAAGAAGGTTTGGAAAATTTGACACTCATAGACTGTATTGAAGAACAGAGGGAAGCAGTGAGTAACTTGCTTTACAACCTTGTGTAAATGGATGGCAGAATGAGGACTGGGTGGGATAGTAAGGGGGTAAACATTGCTTAGCTCTACAAAGGATAGGAAGTTGTGGAGAGCCATGATCAACCCACTTGATGAGCTTGTGTAAATGGATGGCAGAATGAGGACTGGGTGGGATAGTAAGGGTAAACATTGTTTAGTTCTACAAAGGATAGGAAGTTGTGGAGAGCCATGATCAACCTTCTTGATGAGCTTGTGCAAATGGATGGCAGAATGAGGACAAGGAGCCTCACAAAGGAAGGTTGTGGAGAGCCATGATCAACCTTCTTGATGAGCTTGTGCAACTGGATGGTAGAACATGAACTGGGGGATTAAAGTAAAGGGGTAAACATTTCTCAGTTTTCTACTATATCCAAATAAATTTATTAATCTTAACAATATCCTGTTTAATGAAATTGTATTTGATTGTCCATTGCTTTAATGACATAGTCAAGATGTTGGTATTCCACACTACTTCAAATAAAAGTTTAGGAAAGAAACTCCCATTAATACTGGCAAGAGCAATAACAGCTACTGGACTTGAGAAAACTATTTTCATGAAAAATTGTTTTTAAGAGAAAGATTTTATAAATTTCAACTAACAACAGTAGTGGCTGGTTGGTTAATTAATGCCAGAGGTTTCTTTATAAGGAAACAGTTAATATTAGCATTACTGTTGCTTCTTCAGCATTAACACAACCTCAAAAAGAATTAGCGTTTATATTTACTCATATTGAAAAATGTTATTTAATATGGTTTTAAATAAATGATTAAAAATATAGTGTAATCTTAATTTGGAGTATATATATATATATATATATATATATATATATATATATATATATATATATATCCATGATGTTTCTTTGAGTTGGTCTTGGTACACAAGTCCAAAAACATTGCCAATGTGGCACATTTCCCAAAAATATTCAAGACCACTGCCAGCAAAATGAGTTCAGTTCTCAGATGCAGTGTTACTCAAGATTGGTAAGGAAAAAAATGCATTAAATACTATGTCGCAAAAGTTTTTAAGAAGTAAGAGTGAGAAAGAGAGAGTAATAATAATAGTGTGAGAATGATAAGAAAAAAAGATAGTGTAAAGAAAAGAGGAAGAAAAAGAGAGTAATAATAATAGATAATGATAAGTAAAACAAAGATAGAGTAAGAAAAATAAGGAAAGAGTAATAATAATAGAAAGAGAATGATAAGAAAAAGAAAGATAGTGTAATGAATTGAGGAAGAAAAAGAGAGTAATAATAATAGGGAATGATAAGAAAAAGAAAGAGTAATGAAGTTAGGAAGAAAAAGAGAGTAATAATAGAGAATGATAAGAAAAAGAGAGTAATAATAATAGAGAATGATAAGAAAAAGATAGAGTAATGAAAAGAGGAAGAAAAAGAGAGTAATAATAATAAAGAATGATTAGAAAAAGAAAGAGTAATGAAAATAGAAAGAAAAAGAGAGTAATAATAATAGAGAAAGAATAAGAAAAAGAAAGAAAAAAGTAATGAAAAGAGGAAGAAAAAGAGAGTAATAATAATAAAGAGAGAATGATAAGAAAAAGAAAGATAGATCACTAAAGTTGAGCAACATCAAGTCCAGTCTGTACTTACATGGGTGACAGCTTGGGAATACCTGGTACCATAATTTTGGATGAACAGGTAGTGTAATAAATGATGGCTCAGAATTGGAAAATTTATAAATTTGCCATTCATCCGTACATTGAATATTGCTCTCATATCTGGTCTAATGCTCTTGCTATATATCTTGAGATTCTTGACATAATCCAAAGAAGGATCTCTACTTACAATATTTACATTATTCGGGCTGTTATCCTCATCTTCATTGCCATATTCACAACGTTTCAGCAATTATACACTTCGCCCTTCTTCAGGAAATTGAAATTTCAAACCAAACCCTTTATTTCATCCACCAGGGTAGATTGTTCTAGTTCTACGTGCCATGTCTTTTCTGGATGTCTCAGTTAGTACCTTTTAACTCAATTCTCCAAGTTTTGGTTTACCATTGCTGTAGCCTGGTATTGAACCCACAACTAACCCAGTGGATAAAGATGTTGGTTAGATCCAGTGACTAGACCCAAAGAGTTGTGAGTTCAACACCAGGCTATACCCATGGAACTCTCTTCCAGCTTCTTGCTAGAAAGGTTGGTTCACTGTGTTGTGCTAGACAATATTTCTTGGCAGAATTCATCTTACACATTTATAAATCTACCATTCACTTGTGAATTGAATATTGCTACCACTTCTGGTTTGATGCTCCGGCTGTATATCTCAAGATTCTTGACAAAATCCAAAGAAGGGTTTGTAATGTTATTGGTACTGACTTGGTATCTCAGTTCAGTTACTTTCCCAAGGCTGAAACATGACTTCCCTGTTCCTTTTTTTTTTGTAAATATTTTCATAGTAATTGTTCTAATGAGCTTTCCTACTTAGTACCTTAGCTGCATGAATTTAAGCATACAACTAGATTGGCAATTAGGTCCCATTGTTTTACTTTTGAAATAGCTAGATGTAATTGTATGTTCTATTCTAATAGTTTCTTTTCTCACACTTCTTACCTTTGGAAATCCCTTCCGTTTACTTGCTTCCCTGATAATTACAATCTTCAAAAATTTAAGTGCAACATTAATCACCATCTTCTATCTCCTTGTATCCTGTTCATTTTTATTCTTTCCTCAATCCCCCCACCCCTAAACCCAGTCTTTTCTCTCACTTTTACTCTCTGTACCCGCTTCTGTAGTAGTGGCATTCCTGTCTTTCATGGAGTGAAATGGTAAAAAAAAGATATTTACCACTTAGACATTATTTTTAATGGATACTCATATTTGGCTAGGTACTCTGTTTATTTAATAAACAGCATATATATTTATTTCAGGCCGGTAAACAAAAATCAAAAAATATATTGTTTAATAAATAAACAGAGTGTCTACTTAAATATGAGTACCCACTAAAAATAACATTTGACAACTGTTCTCGTGATTCCTCTTCCTTCGTACCTTAACTTCATAAATTGAAGTATACAACTAGATTGGCAATTAGGTCCCATTGTTTTACTTTTGAAATAGCTAGATGTAATCATATGTTCTATTCTAATAGTTTCTTTTCTCACACTTCTTACCTGTGGAAAACTCTTCCTGTTTCTAGCTTCCCTGTCACCTAAAATGTTCAAAAATTGAAATGCAACATCAATGACCATTTTCTATCTTCCTGAAACCTATTCTTTTATTGTCTTTTCTCTTCACTAACATCTTTTCATTTTCTTCTTACATATGATATCCTTTTTCATTGTTGCTGCTGTTGAAAGTCCTCAAGTGATGTGCCAGATATCAGAATATCTGGTACAGGTTTTTCTTTGAGATTCTGCAGCATCTGTTATAACTAACAAAAAATTATAGTATCCACAATAAATGAGTTTTCATTTTCTGATTTGTTTTTCATGGTTTATCAACCCCTTTGAGTTTGTTAAACCTAAAATATATTTTGGATTATAGAAATAATTCTTTTTTTGTTTTTGTTTTTTTGTGAGCGAATATTTCATTACTAATTTTTTTCAAGAATAACACTGATTTTTCCAAATAAAAATCCTACTATTTAACCCATGGCTAGGTGGGGATATGTATCTAGTTTTAGATAGAACCTCTCTCCTACTGTGCAAATAATCAAGGTGACTCAGTGGCATTGGTACAGTTAGAGTATTAGTCTGAACCTGTGAAGGATTAGAACAAGACCTACCATACCAACATCCAGACTCACACCAATGCGGAACAAAAGATATTCCTAGTTTTTATAATTTTAAGAGTCATAGTGCAATATGTATTATGTGTGGGGATCTGGGCAGGTGGTAAAGTCCGGGGGTGCTCCTGGTGGCATACACTCTAGCTATGCCACTGTTCCTGAGCAAACTAAGCTCCAAACTTTGTAACCAAATTAACCCTTTGAGTCTTGTGTTCCTGAACAATTTTAACCCTTCTGCCTGGGCTCCTGAGTCAAAATTTGCAAATAATTGGTATGTAATGTTTTACGGTAGATATAAAAATAATTACAAGTGTTTATCCACCGTTCAACAGCTGCCTGGGCATTAAGTTCTTTTTCTCTAGCACTGTTCAAACAGTGGCTGGGCATTACATCATTTTTCTCTACCACTGGTAAAGCGGTGATCAGGGCTCAAAGAATTAAGAGATAAGATTCCAAGTTTGAGCATATTCTCCATACCAATTAGGGATTAACAATGCCTACCAGGTTCTTGCACAATACCCCAAAACTTGCGATCACCAATTGATCCCTCATTTGTAGTCATAACACAAGTGGTGAGCAAAGTTAAAGGAGGAGAAGAAAGTAACATGGTATGTGTATGGGGTCTGCAAGTGGCTTGCAAATGACTGACCACTGACAGAGCTGAATTTAATTTGTTGCCAACTGCCCAGAACCTTCCACTCACCTGTCCAGCATTAACAAGATACACAGACGCACTTTCTTTGACCGACCAAGGATCTTGCATCTGGAAGGTGCTAGGGCAGCCATTTATGAAACTAATAGAACTAATTTATTGGTAATTAAGGTAAATCTATGAGTACAAATTTCTTGCTATTTACTATTCTTTTCTCCCTTTAGTTTTAGCACAGGTAAAGTTTTAATAAGAATTTTGCCACTGTTGTTAGCTTAGTTTGGCACAAGGACACAAATATAGAGCACTCATTGGGAATCAGACCCATTACTCAATAGTAATGGTTAACCAGAATAGCTCAGTAGCCATTATCCCACTCCAAGGTATACCTGTTGTTTATTAAACATAGCTTAGTTTGGCACAAGGACACAAATATAAAGCACTCGGAAATCAGACCCATTATTCGATAGTAATGATTAACTATAGTATCTTCGTAGTCATTATTCCACTGCATGGTATACCTGTTGTCTATTAAACATAGCTTAGTTTGGCACAAGGACACAAACCTGTAAGATCCATTTCTGTCTTCCATCAGCATGGCTGATACTAAGTTCCCGTAGAGTGACTCATTGCATAATATTCTCAACTGACACAAAGTTAAATGATTATATTGAATCCATTGCTAGGTCTGCTGTTAAGAAAGTTGGGTCACTGTCATGCTAGACAATTTTTCTCTCCAGAATCTATCTTACATATCTATATGTCTACAATTCATTCATACTTAGAATATTCCTGCCACCTATGGTTCAGTTCTCCTGCTGTATATTGAGAAATTCTTGATAAAATCCAAAGAAGAATTAGTAATATTATTGAAGATTTACTATGTATTTATAACCAACATGATCATGTGGTAGGCTCCAGAGAGCATTTCTGATTTTGGCAGAAAAATGGTTTTGAATAACATGTAGGCATGGTTGCCAATTTGAACAGGTCAACCAGATGGACATAGGTGAGAACACAATATTAGAATTAATTGACCAATGTGGAGTCAAAGAAATAATAAAGTAGAATTTTAAGTCTGTGATCCGCTTTTTGTGCAGATTTTTTTCAATCGCAGTGCTGTAATGTAGGAAATGTATTGGAATGTTTTTTAACAAATGGAATTAGATCACAAATAAAATATTTTTAAATTAAAGTAGAACACTAAAAACTCATAGTTGGAGTGAAAACAGGTGGATTTATACCATTCCTAAAGATATTTGCATGTAAGTGAATATAACGAATCCAAACAGAACTGGAACTCAGCTCTCCAGTTACAAATTCTGAGCCATTATCCGTTACACCACCCACACATCCAAGCTTACAGCACCTGGTATTCCCAAGTAGTCACCCATCTAGGTAGTGACCAGGCTTAACTTTGGTGATAATACAGGAACCAGTATTTCAATATAATGTGGCTTCATAAATGATATTGTGGTATGGGCATAGGAGGAATTCAATGAAGATTATAAGGATAGGTAGGATAGATAACGATTGATCCTAGACTTTGAAGAAATTAAGATACCCATGATCAGGAAAGCATCATCTTGAGTGTCTTTTCTACAAAGTAGCAGTTCTTGAGAAGAAGCTTTATGAAGTGGAACTGTCTCCTTACCAGTTCAAATCCTGGGTATGACAATAAACTACATTTGGCAGCAAGGACTCAGATTAGGAGATTGAATATTTTGATAAGTTTGGAAGCACTTCTTAATTGATGTTGTTCCCAGGTCCACCCTGACCTGGGACGGTAGCACCTGTTAGAGTCTCAGCTATGAGCAAACAGTGAACTCCCATATAAAGAAAAAACACAATTAAAGTATAAAAATACATTTTATAGTAAAAATACCAGCAATACAGATTTAGAGTAAAATCAATAATAATATCTGTTTAAAGATAAATGACAAAGAATACCTGTCTATAGCAAAAAATATAAAATTTATTTTATATAAAAAATTAATATCAATACATATTTATATTAAAAAAATAAACAACAATTCACATTTATAGTAAAATTACTAAGAATACATATTCATATTAAAATGACCAACAATAGATTTTATAATAGAATTACCAACAATACATTTTATAGCAAAATTACCAACAATACATTTTATCTGTAGTTGAACACAGTTCAAAATATATTTAGTTGAAGCTATAAAATTGTCTTCAAAATATTTCATTTTCAGCATTAAATAACCCATATAGGTATTGATATGCCACAAAACAAAATCATCCAAACCAAACTATTTCTTTTGTGCAAGAAAACATGAAAGTCATAATAATTATTAGAGTTTTCCATTGATACAATACAACTGTATAATGGCTTTGGGTTCAAATCCTGTTGAATACATATATATTAATGGAAAAGTCAGGAAAAGTTCCTTATGCCTTTGGTTTCTTTGCAATGAGATATTTAGATTCTGGCATTAAATAGCCTTATAGAGGCTGATATGATGCTAAACAAAATCAACCAACTAACCAACTTACCAGTTGAATATTTAGAGAATGCGGGTGATTCAAACCTATGCATGTGACAAGTCAAGTCATGACAGTAAAGGTCTGAGCTGATAGATGGAACTTATCTGTACATTTATGATAGAGTAGCAATAGGCTTGCAACATTGCATCTGTGGGATAGGTACTAATGCTGAATTCCCTAAAAATTTAACAGAATCTCTTTTTCTCTTTGCAGATGATCATGCTCGGATTAGCCTGAGGGAAATCCCTCAGGGCTTCACAACAGACTATATCAATGCCAATTATATTGATGTAAGTATTCAGTTACATATTAAAAACTAGTGTTTTTTTTTTATTATTATTATCATTAATCTAAAACTTATATACTGATCTGAAAACTACAATTCTACAATATCATTAATATTGTTATTTGGTATTAAAGAGTATCAGAAATAGTTGTTATCTTTTACTCATCTTAGAGAACTATTTTGCCTTCAGTCAGCATGACTGATGCTAACCTCCAGGAGAGCAACTCATTGCACCTTTTTGATCACATGTTTTCCACTGACAGGAGAGCAGTTTTCACATGCAAAATTAACATGTCTGCATTCTTTGACACTGATGTAATGGAATAACCTGTCACCACCATGAGTGACTACACTATAGGTAGTAACTACCTATAAGTATCTGTAAGCCAAAGGACTATAGAGTCCAGGTTATCTGTTACTCAGCTCTTAGCTGTTGTCAAACTCTCTGCCTTCAGGTTGAGAGGAACCCAGATGAGTCTATGCTGAAGGGCAGAGTCTCATCCGGCAAGGTAGACAAACTCAAACCCATTTATGTGGGGTTTATGGGAAATTTTTGGCCAAAAGTATGGGCTCAGTTTGCCCCACATTAAATTTGGCCTTGTGCCACATCCTACCCCGTGTGGAAATTGGTAAATATTACTAGCTGGAATTTGTTGAGTACGACTCAGACTTACGCAAGAACTATCAACCTTCCAATAGTAGCAATCACTATTGGATTGATTTGTGACAACCTTGTGCATAACTGTTACCTTTATTCTTATTGTACTGGTTTTTAGAATAAACCTTTACTTATTTTATTCACTGTGTTCTTCAAGTATATATTCCTATTTGCACGGAAATAGGAATATATAACAGACATGTAAAACTTAACTCCCTGAAAACTCTTTCGAACTCTAACATTCCCATGTTCAGCTCAGCCAATCAAAATCAACATCCCTAGTTTGTCTACCAGCTGAACCCAAGGTCAGCCTCAGAAGGTCAGAGCCAAATACACTGATACTAAAAAATAATAATTTGAAACTATTATTTAACAGCTTCCCTGTTATCTATGATCTTCAAAAATTTAAATGAAACAATAATCTCCTATTTTCCATAATCCTGTTCCTTTATGATCCTTTCTCCTCACTAAGTTCTTCTCATTTTCTTTCACTCTCAGCAATGTCTTACATCTTAGTGGAATTATCACCTTGCTTGGGGATAAATGATCAAATCAATCTATAATAGTCACAATGCCTTGTCTCATGAATTCAGCTGATTTATTTTTTTTTAAAGAATGCTTTTTATGCCTATGTGACAAATTACTGAAAATAAACTCTTTTTAATGTTGGAAACAAAATTATAATGGAAGGTTTACACCATTTACATTGCTCAGACTATCATCTTCATCTTTGTTGCTATATTTATCACAATGTTTTGGCCGTTGTACGCTCCGGCCTTCTTAAGGTGGTTGGAATGTCAAACTGAACCCTTTATTTCACTCACTGGGATAGACTGTTCTAGTTCCACGTGCCATGTCTAATGGATGTCAGTTATCTCCTGTTAATTCCCCTCTCCAAGTTCTCCACTGACTTAACCAGATATTGAACTCACACTCTTTGGGTCTTGTTACTGGATCTAACTCACACCTTTATCCACTGTGCCATGTGTCCTTGAGGGTTCAGTTCGACATTCCAACCACCTGAAGAAGGCCAGAGCTTACAATGGCTGAAACATTGTGATAAATATGGCAACAAAGATGAGAATGATAGTCCAAGTAATGTAAATAGTGTATATAATACCTCATCTCAGAAATATAGAACAGATACCGAAGAAGGCCGGAGAGTACAACAGCCAAAAATTTGTGATAAATATGGCAACAAAGATGAGGATGATAGTCCGAGCAATGTAAATAGTGTATATAATACCTCATCTCAGAAATATAGACAGATACTGAAGAAAGTTTTATTCTCCTATTTACGCTTCCCCCATTATGTGTGTAGTACAGTTTTTCTAGACAATATGTATCACTTAACAGTAAGCTTTAATATACTTGGTATTTACCCAAGCATCCTACCAAGCGGGATGTAGCACAAGGCCAGTTTAACAAAGCTTTCCAAGCATGTACACTCAGGCAAAAATTCCCCATAGACTCTGCATACACAGGGTCAGGTGGCTG